AGTCGCTCAGATCACAGGATATTAGGAACATCATATTAAAGTAATTTACAGTGCTTTACAAAAGGTAATGAGCTTGAGCAGTCCCTTTTTAAAGTAAAGGGCAGTGAAGAAGCCTTTTTGAGGAAGAAATGAGCACACGCTAAAAGTGTAGTAGAGCTCAGGAGAAGTGTCAGAGTTGTTTTTCTGTGAAACTCTTTCAGGTGCTAGATAAAATGTCAGGTTTGCTGTAGGGCTAAAATCTGGCTTTGTACATTTTGTTTACTTTCCCTCACTCAGCTAGCTTTTCTACACTCTGCCTGTCTGATTATCTGAACTGGCATCTTTTTAAAATTTCCAATGATATTTGTACTTAAAGTCACATTCATTTCTAGTGGTTTCACTTGCAGTTTAGGGTGTTTCTCTGCAGAGTAGCTTTCAAATATTTGTGTGGTTTCTCTGAACGCCATTTCTCAGAATCGTATTTCCCAACTGTGTCAAACTTCATCTTGATTTTTGACATACTTTACAAAGCAAAACTGGTCACTGTCGCATCTTTATTGATAAATAAGAACCGCCACCATTTTTCCTTATATTATTTAGAAGGTTTTTAAGGCAGTTGTTAAATGTGCAATGAATGAAAGGAGCTCCATTTTCTTCTACTATTCCTTCATTCCTTTGTTCCAGTTTTAACCCAGGACATATCTTGATTGAAACTTGAACTGAAATTAGACTTTCTTGCAGTTCTCTTCCCCACTTTTCTCTAACACTAGTAGATACCTTTTTATTTTTACTAATAAACAAAATGAACAAAAGATGAAGAGCATAATGAAATACTGTTAAGCAGGTGGAAAGCAGCACAAGGTTGGACACTGTCATTGAACATTGTTCTAAAACATTTCTTAAAATACGGATTTTTCCATAAACCAGCTGGGCTGCTTAATATGTATTCTTTTGTAATAAGTTAGCTTAATCATAGTTACTATAGACCATATTTTCTCAATCCATTCAGATATAGTAGGAAATACGCTTTTTCCATTTTTTAGCTATTGTAATCTTAGTACTTACAAGGTCAAATATTCTTTCTTGCTCATTTTCCAGAATAACATCTTTTAGATAACCAAGCAGCTATAGTTTAGGTCCCAAATGTACCGTATTTTTCGCTCTATAACATGCACCTGACCATAACACGCACATCGTTTTTAGAGGAGGAAAACAAGGGAAAAAACATTCTGAATGAAACAGTGGATGTATCATTTTTGTGCTTCATGCTGTGGCCACAGACATGTGATCTGATGGTGAATTTGGGGTGACCCAATGCAAAAATCCTGAGAATCCCTGTGGATTCATGCTTTGTAACCACGTTTTTGCACCATTGCAGCCCCAGGCAACAGTGGGTGTGTGATTTTTTTGGTGCAGGCTGTAGCCATGGACATGCTATGTGCTCTGATGGTGAATTTGGGCTGACCCAATGCAAAGATCCTGAGGATCCATGTGGATCCATGCTTTGTAACCACATTTTAAGTGGGGAGGGAAGGAAAAACACAGAAGGGAAAAGGAGCACGAGAGGGGTGTGCAGAGAAGCAGCTGGCTAAGAATGCAGGAGAGGGGTATAACGGGAGGGAGGAAAGGAAGGCAAAAGTTTCCCCCCACTCACCCACCCAAGCCAGCCGGCTCGCGCGCTCTCTCTCTCTCCCTCCTGCATGTTTTCACGGAGAGGAATTAGAATGAAGGACGCTCTCTTTCCCCTCTGCTTGCCTGGAAAGAGCAAACACAGCAAGGAAACAGAGGAGGGTGGGCAGTAAGACCCTGAGGCAGAATGCAGGAAAGCAGCCGCTTCCTCTTTTCAGGCTTCCCTTCTCCGAGAGGCGCGATTTGATTTTTGCCTGATTTTTTTTGCCTCCACTTGCCCCAGTCGGCTCCAGGGACCACACATTCGCTCAATAACACGCACAGACATTTCCCCTCCCTTTTTAGGAGAAAAAATCTGCGTGTTATAGAGAGAAAAATACGGTATATGATATCCTAACATATCAGAGATATTAGCCTGAACAGATTTCCAGGATATTTCTATTTCAGAACAATTCCCAAAGATGTGTATGTAATCTGCTTTATTTAATCCACTTCTCCAGCATTTATCTGATCCTTATATATTAAGTTCAGTTTATTAGGCATTAAATACCATTGATAGAGAGTTTTAAAATAGTTCTCATTTAGGTCTGCAGAAATTAGCAGTACATACATTATTTTACGTTTGTTGTTTCCTTTCCCGGGTAAAAATAGCTTTCTTGTGCTCAGAAAAGTGTCTGCCCATTTATTCAGTTTATTTTTTTAATCTCAAAACAGCCTCTTCATATATTCATTCATTCATTCATAGACAGACAGACAGAGTAAGTTTAAATAGCTCCAGTTTAAACAACATCCAAATCCTGTGCTTCTGCAGAGGTTATTCAGCCTTCCTATTGCATTGGAGCCCTGGGAGCCATTTAGGTCATTTGTAAAATATTGCATCTCAGCTAGTGTATGCTTATGATCACCTGGCCAGGATTAGCCCCATCCTGTCACACATTTTGCCCGTTGTGTTCATACAGTCGATGTGTTTCAAGAGAAGTATGACGTGTGGAATGGTGATTGTAATTCATGTTAGACCATAGAATGGTTGTTGTATAAGCAGATGCTATACACTGTGTGGGATGTTCTGATTGGTTTAGCATCAACAGGAATTATATTCTCTAACAACAACCAACCACAGTCCATGACCAACTGGTGAAGCCTGTTGGCTATCTCAAATTGTCATTGCAATCTCTAGCCCAGGAGTGAGGAACCTCTGACCTAAGGCCATTCTTGGCTGCCGGGGAGTCCCAAGATGGCCCACAAGACCATTCCCCCTCCTCCCCAAAAAACAACCTGTCCACCTGTCCATCAGCTGACACCCCTTGTGATGTCAGTTGGTGGACAGAAGGGTGGAGTTAAGTTCTGCTTTGACTGCATGCACCTGTTCCCAGCGGGGAACTGGGGCGCCCAGTTAGCGTGGCAAGGTTATGAAGTGATGAATGGGGGAGTTAAATCCTGTCAATTCTGAAGGTTGCGCACCTGTTTATCAGAAGCTGCAACTTAGAAATATTTTAAATAAATGTGAAGTGACAAAAGCTGCCAAAAGCAGATAACTTAAAGTTAAATTTTTGCAGGAGTGTCAAATGTCTTTAAAATAATTTCCATGTTGTGAGTTTGGTACCTGTGTTACTTTATATTTAGTTGTTTGGGGTCTTAGAATTGGCTAAAGTGAGGCTCTTATCCTGCCAGCCGTCATAAGAATGGTGTTCTGTTCTTAAATAGCTGTCATCTAGCACCTTCTTTGTGGTTACCAAGCTCTTTGCTATCAATGGTCTCCTAGTAACACTGACGAAAGCTGTAATTGAATTTCACTTTGCAGTGTGTGCTTTCTAGACTGTTCGGTTAAGTTGATGCTTTTATTTATTTTGAAGATGCAGCTCAGAATTGCTGGATATGTGAAATTTTAATAAAAGCCATCTTTCTTTGCCCAGAATAAAACTTTTTAATTGACTTGGCATTTTTGGTTGTTCAATTAATATATTTTGCAAATTGCTTGCACAAGACATTACATGCTGAACTAGATGGTATGAGTAACTTAAATTTTCAAGGAACTTTGCCTTTGTTCACATGTGTAAATTGAAGGTATCAGCACGGGGAGTCTCATTTCCTGTATTTTCAGAAAAGTGCTGACTTCTCAAAGCTTCCCTGTTAAAATGTGCAAAATGTTTCTTTAGCACAGATGAAAGCTAGATGTTATTTTTCAATTTACACAAGAAGCCATTGCTTGAAATTGCTATATATGTGCTAGTAAATGAGACTTGAGTTTTACAAGCAAGACATTACTGTCTTGTCACTAGAAATCCTACCTCACTCTTGAGACTGAGGCCTGGTCTTGAACCCTGAGATGATAAGAGTGATAAGATAAGAGTACAACCTCGATTTTCTGGTGGGCAATGTCATTTTTGAATATTCCTCTGCATTTAAAACAAAAGCTGCAAGAAGCAGGAAACTCAACATATTGAGGATAACATTCTATCACATTTCTATGTTTATAGGGAGATTTGTTGTTGTTTAGTTGTTTAGTCGTTTAGTCGTATCCGACTCTTCGTGACCCCATGGACCAGAGCACGCCAGGCACTCCTGTCTTCCACTGCCTCCCGCAGTCTGGTCAAACTCATGTTCGTAGCTTTGAGAACACTTTCCAACCATCTCGTCCTCTGTCATCCCCTTCTTCTTGTGCCCTCAATCTTTCCCAACATCAGGGTCTTTTCCAAGGAGTCTTCTCTTCTCATGAGGTGGCCAAAGTATTGGAGCCTCAGCTTCAGGATTTGTCCTTCCAGTGAGCACTCAGGGCTGATTTCCTTAAGAATCGATAGATAGGGAGATTACTATATAGGAGAGCATTAAAAATGTGATTTCCCCACCTGCCACCTGAAATGGTACTGTCTATTTTACAACCGAAGGACTCCGCCGCTCTATTCTGCAGTATGTAGAATAGAAACATAGAAATGTAGAGTTGGAAGGGATCACTAGAGTCATCCAGTCCAGTCCCCTGCAATGCAAGAATCTTGGTCCCAACATTGGGTTCAAATGTGTGGAAATGAAGCCAAGCTTCATTTCCCAGCATTCCCATCTATACATAGTTTTGTTTGCTCTAACTTGTCATAGGTGAACTTCATGTCCTGTGTTTTACCACTGCATAAACAAACACCCCGATTTTCTAGTCACAAATGTGTGTATCACATTAACGATTAATAATGAGAAAAGTACACGATACACGTCTATATAAGTAAATAGAGAGGCAGGAAAAATAGATTATACACTACCTATGGCACAAAACCTTTACAGCTAAATCGCTATCTCTTCGGGAAGTTCATTGCAGTCTTCCACAATACAATATTTTACAGACAATAAAGATTGTACTGCATAAACACAATATAGCAATAAAGCAATATTTTCACTCCTTTCAGATGTCCCCCCTGGAGAGCAAGAAAAGCTTTTTATTCAGAAGTTGCGACAATGTTGCGTCCTCTTCGACTTCGTTTCTGACCCACTAAGTGACCTGAAGTGGAAGGAAGTAAAAAGAGCAGCTTTAAGTGAAATGGTAGAGTACATCACGCATAACCGCAATGTAATCACTGAGCCCATTTACCCAGAAGTAGTACATATGGTAAGTGATTTGAATGGAATTTAATTTTATTTATTTATTTATTTATAAAAAACAACCTTTTTTTGTTCTGAGTAAACTCCCCATAATTGAAGCTCTCTAGGTTCTAGAACTGTGCTCCTCAAACCGTGGGCCTCAGCCTACTTCTCAGGTGGGCTACAGCCTGCCCCTTAATTCATGCAATAGCCTTTTTGGTGGGCTGAATGCTTGCAGGGGCGGCTCCCTACATGTGCGCTGCATAGCCATGTGGGGCAGTGGGAGTTGGTCGGAGAGCAAAGCCAAGAGTGAAGCTGTAGCAGACCATGTTGGAGGAATAGATTGAAAGGAAAGAGGTAATGGCCAAGTGCGACAGAAGAAAGAAAATGGGAAGGAGGGAGGCAAAGGAAACATACTGCATGAAGGAGAAGAGGAGGGAGGAGAAGCACCCAGGGCCACTGCTGAGTCTTCAAGCTCCTCTGCTTTTCTCTGACTCTCACATTGCACACTCAACACCCCAGTTCTCTCTTCCTGCTGAGTCTGCAGCAGAGCCAGGAAGACTCTTCTCCATCCTCTGAGGGGAGGAGGCCAGAGGGACTGTTTGAGGAAATGAGAAGTAAAATGAATATATTTAAACGTATTAATATTAAAATATTCTAAAAGTAAAGTAATAAACTGGAAATAGAGAAGAAGTGCATAAGACAGGGAAGCCGTTAACAGCTAGAAGAAAGGGCCAGAGATTAAAGAAGGGGGAAGTTGGGGGGGGGGAGGAATAAGGTAGAAGTTAAGCGTGAAGGGAGAAGTAGGGGAACGACAAGGAGGAGAAGAAATATTTTGCCTGTTTCCACATGCCTCTCAGATTTTACCTAAATTGAAACGTAAGCCACTTTGTGCCCCGAAAGGTGACCTATAATTAAATTTGCATATGATGTATTATAAGATTAAGAATGGGGTGTGTGAGTCACAATGCTCCAAAATCAGTGCTGTAATTTGCTATGGGACTCCCTGCCACTCGGAAATGGATGTGGCAAAAAGTAATAGCAATTTCAAAAGAGGCTAATTATGTGGCTTTGTACTTCAATCTGCTGTCATTTTGTAACTGGCATTGCCCTTGCACTGCCATTTTAGGACAGGGGTCAGTATTTTGTCACCCTCAAAAGGATGCTGCAGTTGGAATATTGAGAGCCCCTGATTTAAAAGGGTTTTCTTTACGCTTCATTTCCTGCATAACACACTGGCTTGGATTTTTAGTTCACTTTGCACTTTCAGGCTTGTCTTTTATAACTAAAATGTAACAGCACCATACTTGCAGCAGCATCAAGTGTGTTGTATAAATCTGACTCCAGTCCTGCAAAGTCTGCTTTTACTTTTGCTAGAATCTCAATGATCCATTTGTATGTTCTAAATTTACAAAAGGGAGAGTTAATAATCCACTAATTTTGGCATTGTTTTCTAGCCAAACCCATTACTTATGGGCATCACAAAGATTGTCTTCTCCCCCAATCCTCTGATATTCTGATATGTGCAGAAAACTCATGGGGGGGGGGTTGTTTGCAAAATTAACAAAGCAAACAACATCACTATTTCACAGCCCTCCATGAAAATACCATCCTAAAACCATCAGTGAGGGGGAAAGCCTATAACCTTGATGTTACTAAAGTGGTACCTCGGTTTAAGAACAGCCCTGTTTACAAGCTGTTCGGTATACAAACTCCGCAAAACCAGAAGTAGTGTTCCGGTTTACAAACTTTAACTTGCTCTACGAACAGAAGACGAAAGCGGCGGGAGGCCTCATTAGGGAAAGCATGCTTCGGTTTAAGAACTGCTTTGGTTTAAGAACGTGTCATGCTTGGGTCTCCTATCCTACATGCCCAGCCCACTTTAGAAGGTGAAAGAGCACACAGAACAGTTTCTGAAGATGACATAATTGTATGGATTAAGTTCATACGGGAGAAGATGGTCCTTGAGACGTTACTGTCCCAAACCACTTAGAGACCTAAAAGTTAGAAGCAGTACTTTGAATCAGGCCTGAAAAGCAACTAGAAGCCTTCACCAATGGCATAAAATCAGATTGATTTACCTGAGAAGCATGCCCCTGTCAGCAGTCTAGCAGCTACATTGTGGTCCAGTTTAAAGTTTCTGAACACTCTTCAGAGGCCACTTCCTGTAAGGCACATTACAGTAAATTTTATCTGAATATCAGCAGACCTTGAGTAACTAGAAAAGATCTCTTCTCTAGGAAAGGACACAGCTGGAGTTCCAACTAATTGGCAGAAAGCATCACTTGCTACTTCCATCACCTGAACATCTAGAAACAGTGCTAGTCTGATCCTTAAAAGTGGGGAGTGGAACTCCATTCAACAAAGGAAATAACCTATACCCAGTCCAGTCATATTTTTGATTGAAAGCATCTCTGATTCATCTGGTTTAAGTTTAATGGTTGTTGCTCCTGATTCCGTTACTCATCTCAGACACCACTTTGTGACTCCTGCTGTCTCCCCCAGAATTCATTGGAAAAAGAGCAGGTGGTGTCTGTCTGTTGATGGCACTGTAACCCAAATCACAGTAACTATTACAAACATCCTGTAAAGTATGCCAGTCTTATTCCCCTATTACAGATAAATGTTGGGGCTAAGGGATATTTGTCTACCTTATGCCTACTCAGTGAGTTTATTCCTGCGCTAAGATTTAAACCAGGGTCTTCCCAGGTCATACTTACAGACTTACCACTGCACTGTAGCAGTTATTTAGGAGTGCATGTGGTAGTTAGAACAAAAATACGTCTTAATACTTTGGTTTCAAAAGCATATACAGTCATAACTTGGAAGTCGAACAGAATCCGTTCTGAAAGTCCGTTCAACTTCCAAAACATTCGGAAACCAAAGTGCAACTTCTGATTGGCTGCAAGAGCTTCCAATCGGAAGCCGCGGAAGTCCCATTGGACGTTCGTCTTCCAAAAATAGTTCGCAAACTGAAACAGTCACTTCCGGCTTTGTGGCATTCAGGAGCCAAAACGTTTGAGAACAAAGCTGTTCAAAAACCAAGGTACAACTGCATCTCTCTGAATGTGTAAACTAAGATGAATGTATTGATTTTATGGCATGGCTAATGTGCTGGTTTTTTTCTTACCCCCTTTTTATTTTTTTCTTTAGCAAACTTTTAAATAAAGTTAAAAACACTTCTTAACATTTAATAGTCTTGATAGTGAACAGAATACTAGTATACATGGGAATTCTTAAAAAATAATTACAAAACTTTTTGACAGTAATTTACAGAAGAGCTTCCAAGATACAGTGTTCTTTCCCTCTGTTTTACTGGACTTGTCCTAGAGGCAAGATCCTTCTTTATGTAAAGCAAAGGAAGTGAACATTATTTCTGGGGTAGCGAGAGATAGAAACTTGGAGAAAGAAATGTAGAATAGCAAAACTTGTTTGGTGGTATTTGGAATAAGATTTTTTTCTGCTGTGTATTTACACTTGTTAGGGGGACGCGGGTGGCGCTGTGGGTAAAAGCCTCAGCGCCTAGGGCTTGCCGATCGAAAGGTCGGCGGTTCGAATCCCCGCGGCGGGGTGCGCTCCCGTTGTTCGGTCCCAGCTCCTGCCAACCTAGCAGTTCGAAAGCACTCCCGGGTGCAAGTAGATAAATAGGGACCGCTTACTAGCGGGAAGGTAAACGGCGTTTCCGTGTGCGGCTCTGGCTCGCCAGAGCAGCAATGTCACGCTGGCCACGTGACCCGGAAGTGTCTCCGGACAGCGCTGGCCCCCGGCCTCTTGAGTGAGATGGGCGCACAACCCTAGAGTCTGTCAAGACTGTCCCGTACGGGCAGGGGTACCTTTACCTTTTTATTTACACTTGTTAGGATGTCCCTGTTTAATTTTTTTGTTTGTTTTGTTTTTAAATGGGATTTTCTTGTAATGTCGCTTAGACAAATGTGATTTTTAGTTTGCAGTTAACATGTTTCGCACACTACCACCTTCATCCAATCCAACGGGAGCAGAATTTGACCCAGAGGAGGATGAACCAACCTTAGAAGCCGCCTGGCCTCACTTACAGGTACTATACAAACATATTTTTTTCGTTTCTCTGACTAAACATAGAGGGTCTAAATTGCTGCAAAACAAAAGGTTTTAAATCTGAACGCTCAACGCACTAGTTTGCTGTTCTAAGTTTCTAATGGATAGCTTACACCTTTTAAGACTGCAGTTTGACATAAATGTTAATGAACTGTAGCTTGGTTATGTCAATGTAGGTTTAGTGTAATACTTTAATCATAAAAATATAAATGAATGTATATTACAGTACAGTGGTGCCCCGCAAGAAGAATGCCTCGCAAGACGAAAAACTCGCTAGACGAAAGGGTTTTCCGTTTTTTGAGTCGTTCCGCAAGACGAATTTCCCTATGGGCTTGCTTCGCAAGACGAAACGTCTTGCGAGTTCTTGCGAGTTTGTTTCCTTTTTCTTAAAGCTGCTAAGCCGTTAATAGCCGCTAAGCCGTTAATAGCCGTTAAGCCGCTAATAGCCGTGCTTCGCAAGACGAAAAAACCGCAAGACGAAGAGACTTGCGGAACGGATTAATTTCGTCTTGTGAGGCAGCACTGTAATTGATTTGGGCCTTTTGGTGCTTGTAGGGTTATAGCTTTGAGACATAAGCTCTTTTTAAAAGTGTAAGGTGCATGGTGCCCAGTGTTATATAAACAAAACCCCACAAATATAGTGTACACACAACACTGAGCTGGTTTAACTAAAGTATTCGAGTGTTGGATCGGGGTGGGTAACATAAAGGCTGGGGGTTGCATATGGTCAGCCAAGGCTGGTCAGCCAAGGTATGCTCTATTCAATTTCCCACCTCTTTTCCTTCCAACAGGGATTGACCAGCAGTTGTGTTTTGTTTCAGCCCAGCTTTAGCAACTATTAGCCTTAATTTGTGTCTTTCTCTAGGTAACTGAGCTCCTATGAGGTGCTTGGGCAGGGAAAGTTCTGGGTGGTTTATGCTCATTAAAAAAAATTAAGGGAATGTATACAGTTAGGAAGTCGAAGCGATTAATGCTGTTTAGTTTTTCTTTAAATGGTGTTTAAAATTGAGTACTATTTTTAACTGCTTTTCAAAATTCAAGTTGCATTTCTGTTGTAAAACTAATTTTTTTGTGGATCTTTTTCAGCTTGTTTATGAATTTTTCTTAAGATTTTTAGAATCTCCAGATTTCCAACCTAATATAGCTAAGAAATATATTGATCAGAAGTTTGTATTGCAGGTGAGGTTAAAAAATGAATATATCTTCAAACTTTAAATCCATATTAATCTGAAATAGATTAAACAAGTAAATGTGCGTCTCTTGCAGCTTTTAGAGCTCTTTGACAGCGAAGATCCTCGAGAAAGAGATTTTCTTAAGACTACTCTGCACAGAATATATGGGAAATTCTTAGGCCTAAGAGCTTACATCAGGAAGCAAATTAACAATATATTTTATAGGTATGTTTTCATTCTGTGCCAATGCAAATTAACTGGGTAAGGTATTTTAGAAATGTTGTAACTTTGATGGTACTGCCCTGCTACCCTCAAATGTTGGCAGTGTTTCATTAAATCTGCAGGTAAGCCCTTTTTTTTACGATGACTTTAGCATTATTTTAATTCGCTGCTCCGGTTAAACTGAATTATGGGTGGGAATAACATGTTAAAAGTTCTGAGTACTGAATTAGCTTTCATTAAGAATTTGTTTTTGGTCAGTTTTGGCAATTTCTATGCTTTACCTTTCGAAAGCTCAGGTCAAGCTTCCTTGTTTCCTTAAGGCTGGAGTTCTGTTGCATTTACCTATGGCAACTTATTCCAATCCCCCATGACCACATTCTGGCATGTGAATTAATACAGTTGTTAAATTTATTATCCCCCTGCCCTCCCCGTACAGTGAGTATATGCACATAGCATTGGTTAAAAGTGGTTTGGAAAGAGGTGTGTACAGTGGTACCTCGGGTTACAGACACTTCAGGTTACAGGCGCTTCAGGTTACAGACTCCGCTAACCCAGAAATAGTACCTCGGGTTAAGAACTTTGCTTCAGGATGAGAACAGAAATCGCACGGCAGCGGGAGGCTCCATTAGCTAAACTGGTGCTTCAGGTTAAGAACAGTTTCAGGTTAAGAACGGACCTCCAGAACGAATTAAGTTCTTAACCCGAAGTACCACTGTATTGACATATGACCTTTGAACTTGTTATCTTTCCAGCATATCTGCAGCAGGGCACTATTCTTCCAACATGACACTATATATATATATATATTGATTGCTATATTCCCACTCCCCTTTCTCCCCAAGGTATATTGAGCTATAATAACTCTGCCAGCTTTTAGTTCATTTTTCTACAGCTTTTCCCTCTGTGCAGTTTTCCCAAAAGGGAATATATGGTACTGCTCCTTTAAGAGCCTGGTGCCAACTGCGCCACAGCTTTTTGCCAGTTCATCCATAAGAGACAATAGCACCAGCTGTAGAGGGAGCTTATCTTCTGTACAAATGGTAACAAATACGCACTTTGGGGTGGGGGCGGACAGAGGCATTGACTAAAAATAGCAAGTAAGCTTCATCTGTCTGCATTCAGCAGGTTTTGGGCATACAGAGCCAACACCAATATTTTAGATGAGTGTTTCCTCCCGCCCCCCAGGATAAGAGTTTCTGTAGAAAGAAGAGATGCAGGGTATAATACACTTCTGATGGGAAAGCTTTGATTTAGGGCTTCAATGCACAATGTATGGCACACACCGTTGTGAAATCCATGATACTGTGCATTCCACTCTTAAATCAACATATATTTAATTCTGATATTCCATCATGGGCATGTTGCCATAGTTAAGGTGTGAGGTTGGGTTGCCACATAACACTAAAGCAGGGTTTATTAACTGGAATTTATTCCTTCATTATCCTACCTTTCCTTCAAGGAGCTCCAAGTGTCATACACGATCCTCCTCCCCCATTTTATCCTCACATTTTATCCTGTTAGGTAGGTTCAAATGAGAAGCTGTGAGTGACCCAAGGTCACCCAATGAGCTTCATGGCTTCATGTGAACCAAGTCCTGGTCCAACACTCTTCTCCACTGCACTAAACCATGGTTTCATGTAATGTGTGAGCCAGGTCTCTGCTCTGTCATTCACTGATAGGGTCTTCTTCATAGTGGTGCCCACTTTTTGGAACTTGCTGCCAGGGAACCTCCCAGGCTGTTCTTCTACTTCTTCTTTATCAGCAGGTTAAAACATTCCCTTAACAACATAGTTTTTAAATAACTTCCCCAGCCACTGAATATACCAGATTGTTGGTTTTTTGTGGATTTCATGAGCTCATTGTTTGGTTCAGTACTATTATTTTAATTTGTTTGGGTTTGTCTGTCCCCCACATTTTATTAGTGGTACAGTGGTACCTCGCAAGATGAATGCCTCGCAAGACGGAAAACTCGCTAGACGAAAGGGTTTTTTGTTTTTTGAGCTGCTTCGCAAGACGATTTTCCCTATGGGCTTGCTTCGCAAGACGGAAACGTCTTGCAAGTTTGTTTCCTTTTTCTTAACACCGTTAATACAGTTGCGACTTGACTTCGAGGAGCAACTCATAGAACGCGGTGTGGTAGCCTTTTTTGAGGTTTTTGAAGGCTTTGGTGATTTTTGAAGCTTTTCCAAAACTTTCCCGACACCGTGCTTCGCAAAAAAAATCGCAAGACGACAAAACTCGCGGAACGAATTAATTTCGTCTTGCGAGGCACCACTGTACCAGCAAAAAGAAGAAGCTGATATATATATATATAAAGTTTCAAGAGTTTTATTTCCTTGATGTAAAGTTGTTATGTTAACAAGTCTATAGATACAGTGCAGCTTGCCATATGATAGTAACCAAATGGAGACTGGGCTACATAGTGGGTTGTTGTGCATTTCTACTCAGAAGTCATTCCCAGTGAATTCAGTAAGGATTACTCCCCCATAAATTGGTAAAGTTTGCCACTTTAATTCTCTAGATTTCATACTAACTTTAATTCCATCCCTCTCAGAGTATTTTCGAATTCTAGCTGATCTACATGGTAGCTAATAGTCTTTTTGTAAATCTAAGATCATTACAACTAGCACTACTTGTATTTTCCTGCCCTGTTTCCCGAATGTTGTTCAATGACATGGAAAGATGTGATACACCTTTGCAGCATCTTAATTGCCTTTAATACACCCTGGGCAATAATTGGTGGTAACACTATAACAGAAGTAAGCAAAACTCATTTAAATGGGGTTTAATCTTTTCTGTCAGCTTGGAAACCACTATTTTTTGTGTTGCACTACCTCTAGCAAACCAAAACATTTTTAAATGATTTTATACAGAAAGTATATAAACAGTAGAACAAAGTTAAGGATAGGTACAGAAAAGAGTTGGCCTAAAAACTAGATAGAACCTTTAGTTGGGCAAGAGTATTGAACACAAAATTTTCTGGTATAGTTTTAAAATAAATGGCAGCTGTTCCTCAAGTTCTTATCCAACTTGAGCTAGATACATTACCAAACAGATGCTGACTGTCCTCATTGCTGATAACGTATTTGCTTTGTCAGGTTTATTTATGAAACAGAACATCACAATGGCATTGCAGAATTACTGGAAATATTGGGAAGGTAAGCTGCTTAATAGTTACGCATCATAATGTTACTATTTGTGCTCTAAAGCAGAACGGCTTTCAAAGAAAGTGAGGGTGGACCTTGGATTGGAAGAAATTGGTACAATTTGTACAGCTTATCTTGGTTCGAAATGAAGAAGATAATCGCTAGCGCTCACGGGGTGAAAACAAAAAATGTGGGAGTACTTCAGGATCAGACAAACCTGTCAAAGAATTCCTGTGTGTTTTAATACATAAGAATCTACAGTTTTGCTCTTGCTTGCAGTGTAAGTGAGCATTGTACTTGGGTATTGCGTAAATTCAGAATGAAATTTGAGTGGAAAACATTCATGAAACAATAGAATAAAAGTGATTTCAAGAAAAGATTTCAGGATAAAAATGTAACACATTTTTTAAAACTATGATACATTAAATCTCCTCTCCTCCTTTTTAGTATAATTAATGGATTTGCCTTACCATTAAAAGAAGAGCACAAAATTTTCCTTCTAAAGGTATTATTACCTTTGCACAAAGTGAAATCACTGAGTGTCTACCATCCACAGGTAAATGATTCTGCATTTGAATTTCGTTTAAGAGTGTTGATTTAATAATTTACAAACTAATTCTGAGTATATATAGGAAAAGGATAAAATTAACGAAATGTTACAGAAATGCCACCCTCATTTACAAAGTTCATTGTTTAGCAATAGGTATGATTTTGTTGTATATTAGAAGCCTGATACTGACTTAAATTAATGTCTGTGTATTTTGGTTGCTTCTGAAAACTATTAAGGTGGTTGGAATGGCTTCGTTGCATTTTGGGCTCACTTTAATTTCACAGTGCTGTAGCAGACTCTGATAAAATAAATGAAAGATCTACTAAACTCCCAGGTGTGCTGCAGAACTCCCCCATCCTAGTGTCCACAAGTAGCTGTCCAGAAGAGCTTTTCTTATGAATGGTGAATTGGCCTTTGCCATCTGGCTAGGAGAGTGTTGCTTTGGCATCTTTTGTGTGAATTTTGCAAGACGCTTTAGGGATAAAATCGCTCAACTTCAACCAGAATTGGATTTCACATTTAAAATGATGGTATCAGATGTCCGACTTTAGTTTGGCCTTTGACCGTTAACCTACTTGCAGGTCCTTTATCTGCTTTGATATACAGGCGTTGACCATTTTGTGCAGGGATTCCGTTCCTGGAACCTGCAAGTGCCAGCAGGTGTGCATAAGCCTGCCCCGTTACGCCCCTGTTTTACCATCTACCAGGTCCAAACGGGGCACAAGCATCAGTGGTCGCACATCAGCTGAATGCGTACAAAATGGTCACTGCCTGTATATTATTCAATTTTGTTTTGGAGTGGTTTTATTGAATTTTAATATCATATGACTACATTGTAGTAACCTCCTCTGGAACCTTATGGTCAAGGCTAGGTAGGATTTAATTAAAAAAATTAAAAGGTTATGGAATGAACTCCCAGGTAACATTCACCAGGCCTTGTCTCTCCTGCCTTTTAAGGAAAAGATAAAGCTAGTATGTTAAAGGTTTTTGATTATAAGGACATACTGAGTGTGGCTTGCTTTCATTCTGGGATATTCTTTTTCATTTTACTTGGGTGTTAATATGCCTCTGCTCTGTTTTTTGCATATGCAAGTTGAGATTTTTGTGGGTTGTATCCAGTTGCGTCTCTTCATTGATGAAAGGCTCTTTGATCCAGTGGAGGCTTTCATTAGGGTAGGGGAAGCTAATGCTTTTTTTGCCCCAAGAGCCGTGTCACCCCCTAGCAAACCCTCCACGGGGAACATGCCACTGTGGGTGTGGTTAAAAAGTGATTGTGGCCACCCCATACACACACACAGATGCATTCATCCTTAAATAAACCCCAAAATGAGGACTAAAATCACATCATAGTCATTCTGGTACAGCAAGCAGCTTCAGCTTCCTCCCCATCGCCCCCTCTCAACTAGAGCACAGGGTGCTCAGTTTTCCTCCACATCACCCAGCACCACAGTGGGGAGGATAATCTGACAAAGATGGGGTGAAGGGAAAATAAGTGATTGGGGAGGAAGGTGAACAAAATATCTTTCCTCTTCCCACTGCCATTGCTAGCGAAACAGAGTGCTCCAGAAACAGGAAGGAATAATAGAATTATAGAATTGGAAGGGACCCTGAGAATAATCTAGTCTGAAAAATTCAGGAATATGCACCTGTTCTATACGGGGATCAAACCTTCAACCTTGGCATTACCAGCACCATGGTATACTTACCTGCTTCAGTTCTGTGAGTGGGTAGGGCTGTTTATAATGCTTCTGCTGAACTGTCTTTGTTGGTGTAATGCGATTTTGAATCATGCTTCAATCAATTGTTATATGCTTCCATTGTGTGTGTCCACTGCTTTTAGATCTTGCGGAATGAGGGGTGGTTTATAAATGTAAATAATGTCCCCACAGCTGGAAAACATGAGAGCACTCCTTCCTGTTTCTAGAGCACTCCAAACGGCTAGCGGGGGCGGGACGGGGACGGACCTGCTTTGTTGGTGCTGCAAGGAAATTGGGTCGGGGTTGGCAAGCCAAATGAAAGGCACCACCTTTGCATTAGCAGAAAAAGAGAAGTATTTTCATTGATTCCCCTTCCCTCTGCAGCAGCAGCTCCCTCCACCTCATCCCCCAGTTTGCTTCCACGGGCTTAGGAGCCCCTTTGGAACAATGCCGTAGGTGGCATGGGAGGATGGAGGAATGTACAAAAATTGCTTCTCCTCCTGTGCCCCTCACCACCCAGCTGGCGGAGGCCTCCTCTGGATCAAAGAGCCTTCCCATTGGTGGAGGGACACAATTGCAAACAGCCCTATGTTTTTAACTTTCAAGATACCTCCATCAGCAAGGCGAGTTTCAGATGTTTAAAGTGAATAGTTCCAGCATGCACTTTTCAGCTGCGGGTTGAAATACTGCTTTGTAGGTGTGTGCAGTGTTTCTTTGGGTGTCTTCCCCTCCCTCCTTCTACAGTAAACAACAGACATAGTATTTTTCCATCTACCAGGAAGCAAGGTGGTGTGTGTTCTCTCTTGCGCAGACACAAAGAGCCATCTGGAAAAGCTCAACTCTTGTTTGAGCAACATTGTAGACTATTATAGTTACAGTGAAGAATACACAGCTGCCTTTTGCTGGAGAATACAAATTCAAATAAAGAGCACAATAGGCTACGGACCCACTGATTTTAGCTTATAAAGTTTATCACTTGCTTTTTGCCCCTCAGTTTCATTTATCCTTTCTGATAAATGCTCCTAGAATAGTAGAAGAGACAATAGTATTCAGTCCTCACTCCAAGAGCAAGAGTGGAACTTCCAAGAAATTGTGAATTTGTTTATTTTTTTCTTATAGTGAATTATCAGCTCTCACACATCACTGCCAATGAGGGTCTCTGTAGCTGCAAACCTTTGATGCCTTTCCCTTCAGCTAATTTTGTTAATCGTACAAAATGTTGCTTGATTGTGTTTCTGGAGGCCTATGTGCAGTTACAGCAAAACCGAAGTTTCATGTCCCAGTGTTGCATACAAAAACTGCTTGTCTGATTTCCATAATCATTCTGGATCTGACAGCTGCCCCAGGTTAAAATTATTTTACAAAGGGATAGAAGTTGTCAAAAATAGTATCTTTTGTGGGTTTGAATTTAGTAGTGTTGAAGAGGGCAAGTCAACAGTACGGTTTACTTGCTGAATAAAGAAATATGGAATCTGTCAAATATTCCCATAGATCCCAGTTAACCTTAAGATAGCTAGGGTGGTGGTGGTTGGTTTTCCTCCTTCCCTACATATTTCCAAAGACTTTGTCATTAGAAATAAAGAAGTGCCACCTCAACAAAATGTTGCAGTGTGGAGTGTTACAGTTCAGTGTAAATAAGCAGGTATAGAAAACTATTTGTACAATGGACATTGTTGTATCCTACCTGAATATTACAACCCAAGTTCTCAAGTTCACAGTTAAACCTGTTTTTGTATTACCTACTTTGTGAGCCTTATTTGTAATCTTAAGTGTTGTAGAGGTTTTACATTTAGCAATATATGTTGGGTTTCATTCACCAAAAATGAACATTCAATAGCAACAAAATGTTTTTGACTTCTGTATATATATATTTTTGGTAGCCTAACAATGTTACTCTTTCCCCTCAATTTAGCTGGCATACTGTGTAGTTCAGTTTTTAGAAAAGGACAGCACGCTTACTGAGCCAGTAAGTTTAATTTCTTTTCTTACTTTTAAAAAAATCTTTAAAAGTTTTTACCAAAATAATATAATGGAAATACATTTGATTGATTGCAGGGCAACTACCTTGTCCCCTGAAATAAGTTATGAATTGGTACAATGTTCTACTTGCTAATCAGCTGATTGCAGTGACATCAAGCTTCCCTTGCCAATACAATCAGAATGCATTTTAAGACTTACAGTCATACACTGACAAACCCATCTCTACCTGCCATCTCATGTGGTGTCAGGTGTGGAACAGGTGGGTGTGGTTTGGAGAAATGACATCATGGGTCAAATTGAGACTCATTCTGAGTCTTAATTTGGCACACTGGCCAGATGTTCCCCACCCATGTCTATTCTATTTGAGTTTTCAGTTGGAAACGAAAATAGTGTGAATAGTTTTTCAATGTGCTTGTAGGAGACACTGAAAAACATCAACAGATGTATTTTGTCATGCAAATATTAGCTACGAGTTTAGTGTGTGCTTCCTCATCTCTTATTGAGAACATCAGTGAGAGTCATAAATAGTAAAATCACCTGCTTAACCAAAAAACATTAAAATCTGTGTTTGTTACTTGGAGGTAACAAACTTTGACCTCTCCAGGATCTCCAATCACTATGAGCACATTCTTCATAATCAGCATGACTATACAGAAAAACACATACAGAAAAACATGTGCATGAGAAATTTCAAACAATACTGGAAAAGATGTTATTTTGAGATCATTCCTCTTAAGAATTACTTAAACTTTCTTCTATCCTGTTTGCAGAGGGTCAAAGTGTTTTAAAAACAAAATCACATTCAACCTTCATTAACAGTTTTTAATTCCAAAGTAAAACTATAATGCCTGCCATTAGTCAAGAAACTTGAGTGTATATTGTTGTTACAATTATTTCATAATGGTGGCAGTCAATGCAAGCAATCCATGATAAATCACTGGACAGATTTATAATGTCCTGAACATTCCCTCCTCCCTCTTTTCTTTACAGGTGGTGATGGCACTACTCAAGTACTGGCCAAAGACTCACAGTCCAAAAGAAGTTATGTTTTTAAATGAATTAGAAGAAATTTTAGATGTTATTGAACCATCTGAATTTGTAAAGGTTATGGAACCTCTTTTCAGGCAGCTAGCCAAGTGTGTCTCCAGTCCACATTTCCAGGTTGGTAGTTCCAATAAATGCAGTACTGTAATTAAGCTTGACGTTTTGACATTACACTGCATTAATCACTGCTTAGTGGATATGTTATATGCCTTTTAAATGGACCACCTTTCAGTATGTTGTTAGGCACAATATTTTAAGACCGGCTGAGGGCAGGAGAGGAATAAATTCAGCTACTGCAGCTGTGAAGTCTCCTCTCTATTATCAGTAAACAAAAGTACAGCTAGTCTTTCTGTTGCTTTTGACAGTACCAGTTTGGGTTTCTTGTGGATGCTCACACAGAAAGCATAAAAGTGCCACCTTCGAAGCTAAGGAAGCAGCAGGCAGGGGAACAGAAGAGCTCAAGTTGAGATGGGAAAAGGATTCTCTGCTTCCCAAAATGAGAGAACTGTGTAAAGTGTACAGTATGTTAGAGTTGTTGAATGGTAAAATGCTCCCATATCTCTTAGGTGGCAGAACGAGCACTATACTACTGGAATAATGAGTATATTATGAGCTTAATCAGTGACAACGCAGCAAAGATTTTGCCCATCATGTTTCCATCCTTGTACCGAAATTCAAAGACACACTGGAACAAGTAAGTAGCCATTGAAATATATTGCTTGATGCCCTGAAGTCTAACTCTGTTCATGTCACAGCATTTTTATAGAAATATAAATCTCAATAAAGTTTGTGTGCTGCAGTTTCCTCATAGATATACAAGATTGTAATCGGTCAGAAGTATTTCTCTCAAGCAGGTTAGGTGAAGGTAAATGTCACATCACAATAAGGAGCTAAGAAAGATTGATTGGGTAGGTTCTTCCATATCCACGCAGAGTTCCCAGGCACACATCCTTAAAATCGCTGTTCACAAACCAGCCTGCCATGTTGATCCCGCACACAATGGCATAGTGGGGCAAGTCTGGTTCACAGCCCTCCCACCCTGCTGCATACAGCAGAGGTGAGGAATGCTTTTGCCTCCATGGGCCAGATCCTTCTCGGGATATGCCTTGTAGGCCAAATTTGACGGATGGGTGGGGCTGCCCACCTGTCAATCACCTGGAGTCACATATGCGGGGCTTGAAGTCCAAAAGTCGGAATGTCAGTGCCCCTCACATGCAACAAGATGCTTCCAAAAGGAAGTCCCGCCCTCCCCATGATTTTAGCAGCTTCCACATGCAGTGGGGCTTCCTTCCCCTCCTCTCCCCACCCCCCACAAAATTGGCTCTGTGGAGGTTCAGTAGAAACCCGTAGAACAGCACACAGTGGGAGGAGAAGGGGGGATTGTTCCATCCAGCAAGCTTGAAATGTTTGCCCTGGGGGAGCTAAAGTAAAGGGACCCCTGACTGTTTGGTCCAGTCGCGGACAACTCTGGGGTTGCTCATCTCACTTTACTGGCCTAGGGAGCCGGTGTTTGTCCGCAGACAGCTTCCAGGTCATGTGGCCAGCGTGACTAAGCTGCCTCTGGCAAACCAGAGCAGCGCACGGAAGCGCCGTTTAGCTGCGGTACCTATTTTATCTACTTGCACTTTGACGTGCTTTCGAACTGCTAGGTTGGCAGGGATTCAAACCGCCAACCTTCTGATCGGCAAGCCCTAGGCTCTGTGGTTTAGACCAGAGCGCCACCCACATCCCCTGGGGGAGCTATCTCCTGTTAATCCCTCACTATGAATTGTAACCCATGATCACCAATTGACTCCCAGTACGTTTCCAAGCACAGTTGAAAGTGTTGGTGCTGACCTTTAATGCCCTAAGTGGCCTTGGCCCAGTATACCTGAAGGAGTGTCTCCACCCCCATTGTTCAGCCCAGACACTGAGGTCCAGCTCCGAGGGCCTTCAGGTGGTTTTCTCACTGCGAGAAGTGAGGTTACAGGGAACCAGGCAGAGGGCCTTCTCGGTTGTGTCACCTGCCCTGTGGAACGCCCTCCCATCAGATGTCAAGGAAATAACTATCTGACTTTTGGAAGACATCTGAAGGCAGCCCTGTTTAGGGAAGTTTTTAATGTTTCATGATTTATCGTGTTTTTAATATTTTGTTGGGAGCTGCCCAGAGTGGCTGGGGAAACCCAGCCAGATGGGCAGGGTATAAATAATGAATTATTATCATTATAAGTTTATATTATTTCCCCTCTTTTCCCTCTTTTCCTCCTTTCTGCATTTCTGTCCTAGTTGGTTGTATTTTCATATAGCATGTCTCTCCTTTGTCAGTTTTCATCCACACAGTAGTTTAGAATTCTAGCATGAACCTGTTACTAGCCACCTTGATTCTGCAACTGCTATTTGCCTAAAGGACCTTTTAACTGAGCTACAGTGTGAATGCTGGATGTCCCATAGCCTGATGCTGGTGGCAGACTAATGACTACCGGTAGAGTAGCCAACAATGCATGTTAAATCTGCACAGTGAAAGAAAATGCTGAGTAGACAGTATTAAAAGTTGATTTACACTAACTGGATGTCAGTAATCCATTGATACATTGGTTTTAAAGTAACATGGATTACTTCATTGAAGATTTGTATTTTTTTCTGCTTCACCACTTGTGGCTGTCCAGTCATTCTGTCCTAAGCATGAGTAATATCACTGTGTGCAGTCACATACACAGAGTATATGGCACACCTTTGTACGTGTTTAACTTGCATGATGCAAGGAGCCATAAAACTGGTTTGACTTTTGTATCTGATGGCCTAACATGTGAGAGATTATTTTTGCAGAATAACTTAACTTCTCTGGCAGGGAGTGCTGCCTAATTCAGGTGACGAGCTTTTACTTTCTAACCCCACCCCCAATACCATTTTCTGATCTGCTAATTTTAGCTTAAGATATGAGCTGATAGAGTAACCAAAATTCTCCCACCACTGCCAGTGGCTGTAATCTATCAGGAAAATACCTTGTAGAGACACTACAGCTGTGCTCAGGAAAACATTTTAGCCCAGTATGTCTGCATAATGTTGCATAATTTTCACATCAGTTGCTAGAAACATGTTAGATGTAGTTTCAAGTATTGGCAGTGTTCTTACTTCTTTTACTGGGGCTTCTGTTACTGCGTGGAATTTTGTAATATGGACGATTAATGTTAAAATTGCTGGAATTATAGCATTGATATTCAAGAGGAGAGCAATACAACATCTAAAGTGTGCTTGTTTTTTTGGTGTTGAGAAGTTATAATGCATACTTTAGCTAATGGAAGCATCCAGTGACTAATTTCTGGTTTTTATGGTGTGTGTGCATTTTGAAATAATCAAACTTCCAGAAGAGATATTTTGTAATTATTACTTTTAGAAGACATCTGAAGGCAGCCCTGTTTAGGGAAGCTTTTAATGTTTATAGACTATTGTATTTTAATATTCTGTTGGAAGCTGCCCAGAGTGGCTGGGGAAACCCAGCCAGATGGGCAGAGTATAAATAAATTATTATTATTATTATTATTATTATTATTATTATTATTATCCTGAAGCCAAAATTTTACTTTATAGGACAATACATGGCTTGATTTACAATGCTCTGAAACTATTCATGGAGATGAACCAAAAACTGTTTGATGACTGCACACAGCAATTTAAAGCAGAAAAAGTTAAGTAAGTTTCCTCTTGAACATCTTCCTTTTTCCCCCTTTCATTTTGTTTTCCACTGATATATTAGAATAAGCACTATCACACACACATATATATATATATATATATATATATATATATATATATATATATATATAAACAATAACAACTGTTTAGCTCCCTGAAAATGTTCTCTTCCTGCTATTACCATCATGATTGGTTTATATTGCACTCCTGTATATTGTTTCACAGTGCTTACTGGAGCTGTGTGAAACCCATTAATCTCAATCAAAAATGGGCTGATTCACAATTCACCGTCTTGTTTTGGAGAATACTTGGGGGAGGTTTGAGCAATTTCTGGGATTCATCCAGAGCTCAAAAAGGCCCAGCCCTAGGAAACACCTCCACCATCAGATTGCAGAGTGTCAGTCCCTCTTCTTCCTTTTCTACACTTCACCAGATTAAATGTTGTGGAGGAGAAAGAGGGGAAGTCCCACAAAAGCCAATGGCTCTCTGCCCTAAATGTTGCTGAGCATGCTCAACCATCCCATTGTCCACAGGAACTCTGGGAGTTTTATTCATGTTCCTCCAGGAAGAACAGAGAATTTTATTTCCTGGAGTAAGCAAAAATATTTATACCCTGCATTTCCTCATATATTTCAAAGGGCAGCTTTGAAATGGGAGAGGGGGCCATATTACTTGTGGCCGGTGCATAAAGAAGAATGGGAAAATTGCACTTCACAGAACAGATTAAGCAACCCTCGGTTTTACCCATAGCTGCTATATTCTCTCCCTCCCAAGGCTAGCCCTATGATGAGGCAAGGTGAACTACACTGCCCACGAAGCTGCTTGTCACTGCCTATTATCCTTTTATATTTGTTGGCTGGGTACAAATAATAAAATTATTATTGTTCCTGCCCACCATCGCAACCAGCCTTCCACTACTGCTGGTCACCATGGACCACCACCGCCACAAGGCATTGAGTGGTGGTGCTCTTAACAGCAGGTCTGTCCAGAGCATGGGTCTCACCACTCCTCATCCCTGAACCTTTGTGGGTGAAGTAGCCACAGAAATTTGGCCACCAGAGTGCCATCGTTTTGCCATAACAGCAGCCAACACTACACAGAGCCAGTCTGTTTAAACAACATTTACCACCGTTTCAGCTAAGTGGTGGCACAGGCAATCTCTGTGGTCACTTCAAACCAAATGCCTCATTCTGAGGAAAAACTACCTCGGGCATGGCACAGTGTTTCACCAGCCCTACACAAATACACACCCCTTCAAAATTTGGTTAAGTGGGGTGGGAAAAGATACTTCCAGCCATGGAAAGGTTTGGAGTGGGGTTGAGCTTATCTTGTAATGATGACTAAGGGTTTTCTGGTATGTGGAGGAGTGGGGAGAGGATCATTTCTGAAATTATTTTCTAACCCCAATATATACTATTCATGATATCTTACGGCTGTTTAATCCTCTGTTATATTTAAATATATGTCCAACGTTAAACAAGTAAATACCAAAAAAACCAACCCTGTCCTTTTCTGTAGTGTCAAAAGCAATTTAGTAATTTGATTTATTTGAAAAGTTCATTGAGCTTTTTCTGTGACGTGTGTGGGTTTTTTCCCCTAGGGAGAAGCTAAAAATGAAGGAACGGGAAGAAGCTTGGGTTAAAATAGAAAATCTAGCCAAATCAAATCCCCAGGTATTTCAAAAACGTTCAGAGGCTGAACATTTCAACTGTACATTAGATACTGCTGGAACAGTAAGGGCCACCAAGAATGTAACATTTCCTTACTCACATTTTTAAAAGTAATTAAAGAAGATGACTCGGTGTGGCTGAAGTGTGCATCTTTTGGTGGTTTCCAATTGTCTGTGTGGCAATAACAAATACCACACAATAGCCTGGTTGTTAAAAGCTCTTCATTACATGGTCAGTCTTTAATAAATACTTCTTCTAAGAGCTGTAGCTGCCACAGGTGAGCCAGAGAACAGTATTCATGTATGAACAAATTATTGACAAGCCAACAGAATCCACTGTTTGTATGTAATGTTGGAAAAGTCCATGCAGAAAACAACATACATAACTTCTGGGATAGGTCCCAGGAACCTTGCAAGATGCTACTCTCATACTTGTGACTCATCAGACACCACAAATGCGGGTTTAGGTGTTTTCCACATACTTCTTAACTGTCGCCTGAAAAAAACGTGACTAGCAAAATATTTAATTAGAACTAGCCCTAATATTCCTTGCCTGTTGAGATCAAGCAGGTGCCTTCACTGTACTCTTTTTTGGCACCTGTTTGGACAAGCCGACCCAGATGCTTAGGAAGTTGAGGTCATTTTAATCTGTTTTAGTATTTTAACTTTTGTATGTTTTAAAGTAGGGTTGTAGGGTTTTTTTTACTCCTTTTTATTGTTTTATCATTTTGTAAACTGCTTTGAGTATTTTTAAAAATCAAGTGGTGTACGCATTTTATGAAATAAAGAAATAATTCAAGTGATACATTAAATCTGTAAGGGTGTTTTAAAATGTCATTGTGCCAGTGGCCTGTTGGCAGGCTTGGTCACAACCGCTTTTGAGATGTCTCTCCCCCCCCCCCCCCATTCAAGTGGTATATAAATTTCATGGAATAAAACAAATAGATTAAAATCCCTCTGGTTTATATCCAGAGTAGCCCTTCTGTTCACCAAAAGGGTGGGAGATCCAGTAGAAGGAAGGAGGCTGATTTCTCCAATTCCCCCTGCAGCCTCTTACACCACTTCCCACGCTGTTCTGTAGGGTCCTCCATCCCTCCTCCGGTTCAGGTTTTCAGCAGGCACAGAGCTGAATTTGGAATTGGCAGGAATTACCTCTCTTCTGTGAGCTGAACTTCACTCATGGGATTGAACTGCAGCAATATGACTCTCTTTTAGCACATCTACAGTAGAAATTTAAACTAGTTTTCAAATTGGTTTAATTGGAGGTCAACAAGAAGGAGTATTGGAAATCTTTGTTCTATAAAAAGAACTGAAAGTTCCAGAATTCCTCAGTTAGGAATCATGACAATTTAAACAGGTCTGAAAACTATTTTAAGTTTTAGTGCAGACATATCATTTGCTGAGCAATTTTCTGTCGTTGTTGTTGTTGTTGAATGGCAATCTGGTTTAAATCTCCAGCTAACATTGTAATAGATATAGAGAAGATTGTTATTAGAAGTACATATTCAAATAATTTTATTTGGATGAATTTGAGTATGCTGCAGCATTTATTCTATCAGATGGCGTGTCTGATGCACCCAAAGAATAATGACAACACTCCCATTAGAAAGTTTATTGATTAAGACCTTACTGGGGTTGTACTTGACCCTAGACATACTTACAGAGAAGTAAATCCTGTGAAACTTGGTGGGATTTATTTCTGAGTAAAGATGTGTAAAATTGTGAAGGGAGTAAACTACAAAAGGAGTCTAGAATTGGCATTGATGTTAGCTATGCAAATATGGTCAGTCGCTACAACTGCCATGGTTTTTGAGGCACAGAGGTGGTAATCCTAGATAGAAATAAACCCTGTTGAATGCTGTGGGAACATAGAAATTTGCTACCATGATACTTTTTTTTTAATAGACTTCTTTTTCAAAGAATATTAAGTAAATTACCATTGGTTTTGTTTCGCTTTGTAATACGTTGCTTTATTAAATTACATAAAAGAAGATTTGGTGTGAAAGTACACCAATGCCAATGATTGATTTCAGAATTTGTAATTCTTACACTTTTTATAAAGTAATCATGCATGCTGCTTGTGTGGATCAGTTTGTATAAATAGTGGACCCAATTTCATATAAACATTTTGTTGTTCAGGTTAATTTAGTATCAGCGATAAGTTATTATAAAAAGAATTTCATGCAGAAAATATATTAAAGGATTAATTGGTCTGTTGGATAATTGTTCAAATTAGTGACTTATCTTAGAGCAGATTTGCTGACTCATAAAACTTCATTGGCCCCGTTTGCACATCCCAGTAGGCCATAGTTCATGGTTTACCATGATCTTGCCTGCTTTGTTGCTTCTGGATAGCACTTAAGAGAAACAAACCATGATCCTTGGCTTACAGTTGCATCCAAACTGGATATCATAGTTTGTCTGGGTGAAACAAACCACACTCTCTGGTTTGGATATAATGCTATCAACTATGTTTTACTGAGGTGGAAACAAGACCATATAGTCTCTTGATTCAGGTAGGTAGCTGTGTTAGTCTGATGCAATAAAAAAAAAATGCCCAGTAGCACCTTAGAGACCAACTAGGTTTGTTCTGGGTATAAGCTTTCGTGTGCATGCACACTTGGTATCTGAAGAAGCGTGCATGCACACGAAAGCTGATACTCAGAACAAACTTAGTTGGTCTCTTCGGTGCTACTGGGCAATTTATTTATTTATTTCATATAGCCACTTATTATTGGTGAGTGCTGATACCAATAATTGGGCTAATGCAAATATTTTAGCATGCTGGTCTTCTTTTCCTGGCATACCTTTAGCCATCATTTTGTGCAGCGATTGGTCTTAAATTCTTCTACTAAATTTTAAAATGGTAGGTCATCAACCAGTAAAAAGATGTTTGCTCTAAAGGTTACTTTTGATTGTATCTTGGGTCCTAGGAGCTAGTTTAGGGTTTGGCGGAACGTAGCTGACTGTTTCTCATTTGAATTTCCCATCACACCAATTTAGCGTGTCTAGTTTGGAAATCCTTCAAAGTCTCAAAGGTGGTGCAGGATAAGGGGGCTGGGTGCATAAAGCCAAACTGGGAGAACCATATTGTTTCGTATTTCCATTGCAGAAACGTAATAGCCCTTCTGGATCAGAGCAATAGTGCATTATTCAGCATCTTGTTTCCCACAACAACCAGTCAGATGTTCTGGGAAGCCTCACAAGTAAGGCATTCCCCTTTAAAGCCATTTAAGCTAGTGGTCATAACCTCCTTCTGTGGCAGCAGATTCCATAAACTAAGCACTGTGTGAAGTTATTTTCTGTTTTGTTCTTTGTTTTTTATCTCCTGCAAATGGGTTTTATTGGATAGAACAACACATTTTCTCCACCATACACAGTTTCAAAAAACCTCAGTCGTGTCTCACCCTTAACTAACGGGTTTCAACACTGACAAAATGAACCTTAGATTATTATTTTTATGCTCATTTCATTATTTCCATTGGACATACGGCTTTATTAGATTTCAACAAGCAGTTTGGACTATCAAATCTCCTGTTTTTTTAAGATAGAAGCTATAACAGTTCATGGTTTAATCCAAAACTCGATTTGTGCAACAAAATGTGTAAATTACTCTTAATCAAGTGTGAGGGTAATATTTCTGTCAGTAAAATTGCTGTTGCTAATCTTAAGCTTTGCCATTGAAAATTCTGACATAAAACATTTTGCATTTGGTTAGTACTCAGTATTTAGTGACACCTGTCTGGTGAGCAGTCCTGTTGCAATGGAAACAGATGGGCCTTTAATTGAAGACTTGCAGGTGCTGAAAAAGGCAGTGAAAGAAGAAACTTGTCCGGTAAGCACATAGGAAGAAAAATTAGCCTACTCGTTCCAAACTTGATTTAGAAATTACTCATTTTGGTTCATAGTTATGCTTTTCCTCTCTAAATGGCAAATTTGAAACGAGCAGAATAATTTTAGTAATTGCTAAGTAGTTTCCTGTTGTCAGTAAAATAGTTATTGTAGCTGTTGACCATGTCCCGTTGCATATGTGAGCAGTGAGAATTTTTTGTCCTGTGTTTATTAAGTGGCTTCAGAACCATTAAAGTGAAGTGGGTATTTCAACGAATATACAGTGAAGAGATTGCTTAACAAAACTCGCTTATTGAAATTCCATGTTTTTTTATTCCCTCGTCCCGTGTCTGCTCAGCACAAGACTGCTCAGCCCTGGCTTCCTTGACATTAGAGGATTGCCAGTGAGTCTTTATGCCCTCTCTGCCAAAGCCACACTGAGAAATCAACGCACATCTAGTTATCAGGTTCCATGAATGTGATGCATGTGGTTGCAATGGCACCCTTGGGTATCTCCTGGCACCCACAAAGCTTCTAAGCTCACCCCCTAACTGCCCCTTTTTTTCATAAGGTGGTGAGGGCTTTCCTTGAAAAATGCAGAGAGCTAAAGGAGAAAATTGGAAGACTCCTTTCTGCTTCCTCTTTCAGCTCTGTGTGCTTTTCAAGACAAAGTGAAGTGACCAAGAGGATAGAGGAAGAGTGAAAGGGGTGGGGGTGGCATGCCACAGGCATCAGAAGCAAAAGAACGAAGAAAAAGCTTATGCAAATGATCCAATAAAATGGATCCAATTGACATTGCAGAATTTTAATAGGTTTCCCTTACTACTACCGCCATTGAATCAAAGATCACATGTGCCTTCATAGACTGAACCGTAACCATCACACATCTGGTTGTTTCCAGTTCTGCCAGTACAAAAAAAACATGGTTCTGCAGCACAGATCCTCATAATTTTTTTTGCAAGGGAACATCTCAAAATTACCATCTAATTATAGGCCACATCTTTGTGTATAGATGTGCTATGTGATTTGTTGGTGGTTTTGTTCTCATCCCATGTTGAATCATGGGATCTATGCCTTTGATAAATGTGTTTGTGGTGCTGGCCACAAGGACCAGATTTGTGATCTTTACTGTGCAGTCTACCAGTGTGGTCTTTCATTTGCTGGTGGGGAGGCAAATTTAAGAGGATAAGTTTTAATTCTACTGGATGTGATTTTTACCCTTGGAAAAACAAAAGGGTGTGTGGGTGTGCGCACACGCATACACGTGTATGCGTTAGTACATGCACATGCACAATTGTGCATGAAGACTGAAGAGGGAAGGGAAGCAGTCAGAGGTGGTAGTATCCAGTGCACTCTCAAAATTCCAGATGTGCTCAGGCTCAAAAAAGTTGGTGACTCCTGGTTTAAACATAGAGATACTGCATATTTAAATATGGTGCAGACGTTAATAACAGTTGGTTTCATTAGAAGGCTTCATTGTCAAGTAGAAACTGATCCATACTTCAGGGAGATAGAAAATGATCATTGGTTGTTATTCCTGCTCCCTCTACCCCACCCCTCAGCATCTTGGATTTTATAGTCCTGACCTAATTCAGATCCTGCCCATGACTACTTACTACACAGGTTCTTGAGGCTAAAACCGCATAAGGACCAAATAAGGATATAAATTCATTCAGCCTTTATTGGCATAATTTAGACAATAAAATCATAAAAGAGAAAGAAGGAAAAACCACCCATAAAACATTGGCGATCCAAACATATTAAACACGTAAAACGTTTATTTCCTGGAATATAGCTGGATGGAAGAACAAAGAACCACAACCTCATTGATTATCTCAAAAGTTTTGGCAGTATCTTACTCCAAGAAACTTGGTTATATAAATCATAAATCATTATAAGGGGGTGGGCAGGTGCTCACCCCCAAACCTATGTCACCTGTGTTTCTCCTTCCTCCATTTCTGTCCCTGCAACCTGCTATTTTTTCCATCCTCAGTGTTGTTGTTGGAGCATTTGAAAGCCTGGCTCACAGCTGCCATAGCACTGCTATGCATCTCTCCAACTGGCAAAACAGCAGAGTGCAAGGCCATGGTCTTTCTCGCTTTGGGCCAAATAACAGTAGGAGGCAGACAGGCATAGTATAGATGTATCTTCCCCAATAAAGAAAACCATAGTTCTATGTATGGCAGCTGCATATGCATCCATGTATACTACTTCTGGACACTGACCTACTTGGGTGAGTAATCAAAACATGCCATTCCATCCATTGTAGTGCTACACTGTGCTTCCGTGGACCTATGGCTGACTCTTGGTGGTAACCGCACAATTGGAATGGGCACCTGTAGCCGAAAGAGGGAGTGGGTAGGACAGTTTGCTACACGACTGCTCACCAGGGGGCATGGCTATTAGCCTAAACAACTTAAAAATGGTATGCCTATAATGATAGTATGTACTGACTGTTAAATTGATGGACTTGGTAGCTTCCCAAAGAACCAGGAGAATCAAAAAATGTATTCAGAGGGGTGCCGTGTATGGATAAGCATTGCATCAACCAAGTCATTCCAGCAGTAGCCAGGTTGTATTGCCAACTTGCTGTCGTAAGCTTGCTAATAATACTTTTCTTCACCCAAAAAACCAACTGATTGTGGATTAAACCATTGCATTAAAAAAATGCATTTTGATTTTAGGCACAGAAGGAACAGAAAAAGGATCGTGTTATTGTGCGCCGCAAGTCCGAACTGCCTCAGGATATCTATACCATGAAAGCCTTGGAGTCCCATTGCCGAGCTGATGATCTAATAACGCATGATGGGCATTAGACTATTCAAGTGAAATCTTATTTGGAGGAAAACCCTTTTTTCTGGACTCTGTTCCACAGTAGAGAACTTACTTTTTTTGTGCCATACTGATCAGTTACACACAAGTCAAAGCTTTTCCCCCAATCCCATTTCTTTAGGCAATAACTTTGATACAGTATGCGCAGCTCAAGATTAGTTGTTCAAACAATGGTAAATTATCTGATTCTATATGCAGAACCTTGGGTTGACAAGTATTAAACGAAGACACTTCCTTGAGGATGTTGGCATAGTACTAACAAGTCGGAAGCATGCACTTTTCCCCCTCCATATTATTACTGAGAGAAGAACAGCCTTGGCACAAATCATCACACACTGTTGCCACACAACCTCCCTAAACCTTTTTGGCTGCTCCACCTTCCCTCTTCTGTGCGGGATGGAAAGCAGTTCTGTATATGGAAAAGCATGAAACCATAACGTTGATCATATTGTTTGCAGTATGTACACCTGTTAGACTACAGTCGGCTGCAGCTTGTGGCTCATGTACATCATATATGTGCAGGCACACAAGAAAATGCGTGTGTGACTGCACATTCCTTTTATTTTTCTTTATATGGAACTGCTTTCTGTGTGGGCAAAGTGGCCTTGCATGGGTTTTCCTAATTAGAAGCTGCAGTACAAGAGTGCCTGGTAGGCTGAGGCCATTTTCTTTCTATTCTTCCTGTCCCCAAAGTTGGTACTGTGGCAATAGTCGAGTTTTTAAATTCACCGAAAACCTATTAGGCATTTTCATAACACTGAAAAAACTTCCGGGGGGGGGGGGGGACAAACCTGCATTACTGCCTTGACAAATTCCTGGCAGCTTGGAAACACACAGTTAAATTGTTCTCTCAGTTCGTCTTACAGAATGGCAATTTTCATGACAATCTTCAATCACGGCTAATTTCTGGGAGCTCTGAAAATTATTTCAGAGAGAGGCACCCTCAAAGTACTTTATATGGATTGAAGCCATATTTTCCAATCTTTTAGCATGTAATAGAAGCTTTTTGGAACTGACCTGCTAGAAAAAGAATTTGTGTTCCTAAACTGAAATCCTGTCTGCCTTGATTAGAAATAAATTGCATTTTTAAAAAAATAAGTCATTGCATAACTCTTATTTTGGTTTCCCCCCAAAAAACTATTATTTCATTTACCAGAATGACTTCAATGTTTTTCTCCCTTACCTGAGTTTTTACTGCATGGCATATTTTGAGCTCTAAGAGTTCTTTTTGTAGACATCATGAGACCAGCTAGCTGGATACATTTCTCTGGATGATATAATTTGATAGGAGTGCAGCATTAGTACCTTTTCAGATTATATTTAATAAGGCAACAGATCCTCATTGCATTATGCATTTTTCAGATGCCTGTCTTAAAAGCTGAGAAATGAGTTAGAGAAGTTCTGCTGTCATATTGTTTTCTGTGGTGAAAAGCACATGTAAAACATAACACACCTCACAAGGAAAAAAAACTCATCCGAGTTACTGTTGATCTTCAAATGCTGCTATATATTCCACAAGATTACGTGCATGTTGTGAGCTCTTTTTTATTGTTGTGGATGGGAAAGCACGAAGAAATTTTCTATATATATAGTGCTTTGTCTTCGATATTTGATTTCTCTCAGGGTGGCCAGTATTTTTAGACTTTTGTATCCTGCTTAAGAGCTGGGTTTCAGTTGTGTTTTATTTAGAACCAGAAACTTCTTTCTTTTGTCTCTGGCAGTAGCAAACAGTGTTTTAATGTCTTGATGCAGAAAAAGTTAAAACATGTGGCTTCTTTAAAATAAGTTTTTAAGGAAATGAGGTATCGTGAATCCATTAAAATTATTGTGCGAAACAGGCAGTTATAGTAACCTTGTGCAGATGTAGTGCCTGCTGTCTGGTCTCACTTAAAACAAAATGTCCAATATTTATTGCAAAAGCTATGGGGAGAAATCATATGTGGTGCGATGGGAATTAGTGGTAAGGCAGAACTAAATTAATATAAAGACCACTCCAAGCTTCAAATAAAATACCCATTCTGTGTAAAAACAATTCCTGTTAAACTTGAAAATAAATATGGTTTACCATGAAAAACAAGTAATTTAAAGCAGATTAAAGATGTCTTCCCTTTTTGAGGTGGGGGGAAAGGGTGCTTTTTTAATTGCAAACGGCAACGTCTATATGTGTTTTGATATACCATTGTTTGAACTTCCATCTTTAGCTGGTAACCTGTCAAATACCTTTTTATAATTAGGCTGTTCAGTAGGTTCATGAAAGAGGTTTCTGGAAAGAAGCATTCAAACTAATGTTATCCTCTGGGGGGAGTGGGAGAATATTGTATATCAATGTTTGGTTGACTGTGTAACGCTCAACGTATAAGATCTTTCACTGTCTAGATTTTATTTTTTCTCTTTACTGAAGATAAACATTCACCAAAAAGCTAACGTTCTGGGATAGGTAGGAAAATTATGCCATGAAAACTTGCTCTTGAGATTTTAGGCCAGTTGACAAACTTGCCTAAGCAATATTCTAAAATTTAGCAGCACTAATTGTTTGGCTTGTTTGTTATCACCATTTTTATGCTCTGTATAAGTTCTGTATTAAATTATTCTAAAAACTAATACATCCAAAATAAAAACGTGCAAATAAAATATAGTTTTGGTGACTGTTGTTCTTCATAAAGTTCAGTGTTAGCCATCTTCCCATGTTCTCCAAAATTTTATGCCTGTACATCAGGAATGTCAAAAAGAATATTACCAAGTGTCTTTTTTGTGTGTGGCTTTAGTATGGCTTCATTTTAATATTGTACATACATTGTACTTTGTTTTATTGTAATGAGTAATAAAAATGTAGACTTCATATTTTGTACAGAATGGTCCTATGTACAGAATAAAAAGTTCCTAGAAACAGCAAAAAAAAAAATTATAGGTAAGTGGCACAATTTTTCTTTATACTATATCTGTATCTTTATGCTTTAGTTGAATGCTATGTTCAAATGTACCAACCTATTTTTTAATATTTTATAATTCAGGTTTTTTTGTTCAGACATTGTTTATGAAGGAAAACTTCATACACCTGCCATTTAATATGCTCTTTTATCTAGTTTTTAAATTCTAAAACTGGTGTATTATATGGATTAAATAAAGAAGAAATGGAATTTTACCTGCTCATCATAAAACTACGTTTAACTTAAGGAAAGGATCTTCCAGCAAGAGTGCAGATTATGTAGGTATCCAATAAAAAAACCCATACAAAACAAAGTTTCAATAAGGGGGGCTACATCATCTACAGAAGACTCAACGCATCCAATTGACCATACGTAGAATGATGAAGCAGCCTATATATAGGTGGTGGCCAGGAGAAACTGATGATTCCATTTCTGTCCCCTTGACAAGTCAGACCTTTGTGTTCACTCTGCCCATGATTACGAAAGCTGCATAAACTGTTGTGTGAAAAATACAGTTTTTGACAATTGGGTTTTCCTAGTGCAAAACACGGAAGTTTTAGCACTCTAGTGTCTTGTTGCTCCATCCAAAAAATGACTGCTACTCTAAAAAGTTAAAACCATAGATAATAATCTCATTACCTAAAATTGAGAAGGATTTTAGGATTTTGTCTCAATCTGTGCTTACTGAAAGACAAATCCATTTCCTGCAGTTGTTAAAGCTACTAAATGTTGCATACAAGCCAGATGAGATCCCTCACCTTTTGATGGTGGCAGACATTCTACTTGGTCGTGTGCCCCCCCCCCTTCCAAGTTTACTCTCAAAGTAGAGAACTAACTTTATAGGAATTTCACTGAGCCATGAACAGAGTGGCCAATTTGACAGTACTGTATAGAGTCAAATTGACCCATTTAATATCTTAAATAACTCAAAGTTTGTCCACTAATATGTGACTCTTGACACAACTCGCATCATGTAACCATGCCATGGGGTGGAATTTCCTTCCTTTAGAAGCTGGACAAAATCCAAGCCCCAGCATCTCCTGGGCAGCCAAAAGACCTTCCTTGGCTTTGAGCAGAGGGGGCTAATCCATTTTGGCTGGTGGGCTGCATTCACTCCTGACCAACCCTTTGAAGATAGTGTGTCAGTAGTAGGTGCGGCCACCCCAGAGTCTTGCATCAACACAAAAAGGCTGACAGCCCCCGCTCCTCAGCTGGTCCACATCTCTTGTGCTTTTCTTGGTTTAATGCAGAACCTCTTCCCGATTTTCCCTGATCCTCCACCGACCCACAGCAGATCCTGAAGGTCGGAGCACCCTCAGCAACTCTGGATTTTGCATTGAGGGTCATGCAGTACCGGAGTCTATGAAAATTGGGTGCCTTGCCTTACACGAATGGAAAGCAATTTCTTCCGGCTAAAAACCACCACTGTATGCAGCTCAGCACTCCGAATGATCATGATTCATCTTAATAGTATGTCAGTACGCTGTGCTCTTCAGGACTACAGTCCATTGTGTCTGGTTGCATCACTACTTGGTGCTACAATTCTGTAGTTCAATGCTGAGACAGAAGGACTAAATTATTCGAAATAGTTACACCTGAAGCCAAGGGTAGTAGCAGGGTGTCCCACAAACTGACAAATGAACCAAGGTGAAGTATGTGAGCCGATCTTCGTGGGAGGAAGAGTCAAAATCCTAGCTTGCTTTCCTCCTGAATTCATGAAGAGTCAATTCTTTCATGGTACTCTGAATCAAGGTCAGCACCTAGTAATTGGTCCTGTAGACCTAAGGGGATTTGTACTTTGAACAGTAGCCACCTATGCTGCATGGTGTACAGCAGGGAGTTTCAGAAGTAGTTAATGACACCTTGTTAGGGTCAGCTCTTCAAGCAACAGTAAAAAAATGCCACTGTAATACCAAGCCCATAACATTTGTTCATGCATCTCATCTCTTGGATTGTTGTCTTAAGTCAGATAGAAGACCAGGACATGAAGACTTGGAAGCAATACATGAACTTTACAGTAGGGTTTTCTGTATCTAGTAGAAACTACATTTTCTCTATACACTTGGTTTACAAAAAGCCAGTTTTCATGTTGCAAGGCATGACCACAGCTATGCATCCTTCTAGTTGGCTGTTGCATACCTGCATTCAAACTTTAGTGCAGCAATCCTCAAATATTTTTGATGTTGCTATATAGATGAGGACCAAATTAGGTGTAACAGCAAAGATGCAAACTGATTTTTACTGGGTGAGGGAAGCAGAGAGCATGTTGCCAAGGGGTAAAGGTCTATTGTCCAGAGAGAAACCTGGCATTAATCATGAAAAAATAATGGCGCTTTGGGATGTGGTCTCCTTAAATAATACATTTCTCTTGCTACATTATGCCTTACCTCATGCAACTGTCACTCATAAAAAATTAAAGAGAAAAATGTTGCTGTGTAGCTAAGTTTATTTTCTGTGTTTGATAACCCTCGAGGCAGTAACATATATCAGATCGTTCTCTCTAGGCATAATGGTTAGCTGCAAGCGGGAAAGAAATCGAGGCTGCAGTCCATGGCACTTTTACTAGGGAAGATTGAACTCAGGTTTACTTCCAAGTCTTAAACCTGCTTAGAATTCCACAGCATACATTAGAATGCTACAACATTGCAAGGGACCACAAGGCTATCCTAGCCAACCCCTTTCCCTAGACATCTTCCACTATGGAGCAAACTCAACACAAATTAAATTCTGCAGTCCAAGCTGCACTCTGCTGCATGCAGAAAACAGTCTTATTCAATTTTTGAAATAAAAAAAGGGAAAGCCACCCCTACCCCCATTGTCTCTTATTAATGGAATGGCATGTCTGCATTGTTGTGCCTTCACCCTTCTTGAGGATATCTACCCTTTATACCAATGGGACGCAGGTGGTGCTGTGGTCTAAACCACGGAGTCTCTCGGGCTTGCTGATCGGAAGGTTGGCGGTTCGAATCCATGCGACGGGGTGAGCTCCCGTTGCTCTGTCTCAGCTCCTGTCATCCTAGCACACCAGTGCAAGTAGATAAATAGGTACCGCTGTGGCGGGAAGGTAAATGGCATTTCTGTGCGCTCTGGCACTCATCACAGTGTCCCGTTGCACCAGAAGTGGTTTATGCTGACCACATGACCTGGAAAGCTGTCTGTGGACAAACGCCGGCTCCCTTGGCCTGAAAAGTGAGATGAGCGCCGCACTCCATAGTCACCTTTGACTGCACTTAACCATCCGGGGTCCTTTATCTTTCTACCTTACCCTTTATACCACCTTAAAAAAAAAAAAAAGTTTATCCCCTTCAGTCCATTTTTTCCCTGTAACAAAGTCATGCAGAGATATTCAAAGAAGGTAAGGTTATTTTAATAAGTGGAAGATTGGTGCACTGATCTCTCATGCTAAACTAATTAGGGAGCAGTCCTCTGGCCGTGGCGCTGAGACAAGAATCAGAAAGCAGAGCAAATTAAGGGCAAAAGTTCCTTATCTTGTATTTCTTTCCACTTCAGTAAGGTCAAGAGTGCTTCCTCCTTGCCTGTTCTCATTGAAGATTTTGTAGTCAAAACAAAAAGGGCCATCAGTGTGGACCTTTGAGTTCAGGCAATAGTTAAGCTCTAGAAAAAGAGATCACAGCACTCATGACCTTGAAATAACACCCTTTGGTGCCGAAGCCCCTTCCCTCTTTTCAGCAATGCATGAGCTGCTTCTGTTGTTACTCAGTAGTGATGGAGGCCCACTCTGCACCTGCTTAAGGTTCAATTGCTGCTCTGGGTCTATCAATCTTGAGCCCTGCCATTGAAATCACATACTAGGTAGGACTGACCATTGGGGAAGACCCAGTAGAGTTTTAACCATGGTCTCAAGGAATCCATGCTTACCTCTTCCACCCTGGTACACTTAACTACGTAGCCTCTAAAAGAAGCCAACCATCTCACAGAAATGGCTGCCATTATCACAGAACTAGAACCACCATTTGTTGCAGCAAGTTAGTAGCTTGCATTCAAGGGCCCCTAGCTCACTGAGGTGGTCTTCAGCACAATCTTGGCATGCTGGAAAGCATTGTTCATTCACAAGCTTTTATTATTTCTGCTCAAGCTGCTCTGGGAAGTGGTGTGCGGTTATGCTGAGGTAAGTGTCACCACAGAGGCTCCCAACGTGTCCAGGTCCCAAGCTGGATCTACTGCAATAATCTGCATGGGGAGGGCAGGGCAAGACTTGGGGCACTTAGCCTATTTCTCTCTGTATTCTCTCCAGCACTCTGGTGTTGGAATCCAGAAAATCCACTAGCACCGTGTGTTGAGGAATGACCCTTTCCCTATTTTGGAGTAGCGCTATCCCGGATGAGAGACGAGCCTTGAGCATTCCTTAGCCATAGATACCATCTTAATTGCAACCCAAGAGCATCTTCCCATCCATAGCTGAGCGTGTTCCAACTAGAAGGAATACCTTGTGCATGCATGTTGGAGTTACAGTGTTGTAGGTGGCCTTGTGCTCTGACCCACCCCCTTTGATGCAAGAGATCCAGTTCGAACATTCCCTAACAAATTACTTTGTTACACAGCACAAAGTTAAACCATGGGATCACACAAGATGTAGCGATGGCCATCGACTTGGGACAGCTCTCAAAGAAGATTGGGCAGGTGATGAAGGCTATCAATGGCTGCTAGCCAAAATGGCTATGTTCTGTTTGCTGTCGGAGGCAGTATGCCCCTGAATACCCATTGCTGAGACTCCCAGGTTGGAGAGAGTGCTGTTGCTCTCCTGTGCTGCTTGCGGGCTCCCCATATGTTGTCCGCTACAGGAAGAGGATACTGGGATATGGGTCACTGGCCTCATCCAGCAAGCTCTTGTGATGTGGCTGCCCAGCTTCTGCTTGAAGACCTCCAGCAGGGGAGAGTCTGCTATCTCTGTATGGGCCAGGATGGGAACCAGTGGCCCTCCAGATGTTGTTGGACATCATGCCTGTTCACTGACCACACTGGCAGGGGCTGAATAGGGTCCAGAAACATCCCTGCTCTATGCAATCCAACCCATCTGTTCATCCTCCAGAATGGTAACTCCTTTAGATCAAAACAAAAAAATT